ACTCACCTACAATAGATCTTGGTCCCTGAATGTCTTAAATTTAAAAATATTGTCCTCTTGTTTAAATCTATTTGTGACTTGACTCCTACCCCTCCTTGTTACATACTCAAGATTTACGACATTCAACTCTTTTCCAAATTGTCTATTTTTCCCTGCTATGGCCTTTGTGAATCTTCCTTTTTCTATTCCTCCTCATTGGCAAACATGCCATAAGATGATTTTGTCCTGCACCCTAGAATTCCATTTTTGAATTCTGCTGCCTCTCCACTTCCGTCTTTTCCTTTAAAACAATCCTTAAAATCTATTACTTTGACAGCACTAATATTTACCCATCTTGAAGTCTCCTTTTTTGGCTGTGTTTCCATTCTGTTTTGAGTATATTTCTCTAAAATATTCTGGAGTGCTACTCTATTGCAAAGGCTCCATATAAAGGTAAGCTGTTTTATAAATGTGTGGATAAAGTACACATTTCAGAATAAGGGATAATATGTAGAATGTGCTTAAACTTGTCTGTCATAAGACCTCATCATTCTATTTTAATATGGATCTGGGTTTCTGTCTCAGAAACTGTATTTGAAATCATTTTAATTGATTAAATTCTGCAAATGAACCTAAGATCTTCAATCTGGGCATTCATGCAAAGAATGTTTTTTTTTAACCAAAATGTTTGCGTCTTTTGTTTCTATACATGAATGTCAAAGAGGATTATACATTCAATTGTGGAAATGAATTGTTATGATATATGTAAAAATATAATCTACGTGTCTTGTGTGTTTTATTTAGGAAAAGCTATTTCAGAGAAGCATATGAAGGCTTTTGATGATTTTGGTACAAATTATACTTCAGTCTAACAATGTTCTATATACTGTGGAAGCATAATTAAGTTTAACAGCTATCTGAGAGGAAACTTTCTGATTGATGTGGATCAGAGGGCAATTCTAGTATTCTCTCTGACATAGTACACATACACTCAGCCAATGTATGTAAATTGCAGATAAATCAGCAGCTGTTACTAGTATGAGCAGGGATTTGCACCAATCCTGTTGACCCCAAGATTTCAACAAAGATCAAATTCTCCTACAGTATCCTAGAGTGCTGTTCCCTTTTAAACTCGTAGTTGTTCTGCTTATCAGTTGACATTGTGAAAATTAAGAATTTCAGTGCTTGCCATAGAATACTGACTTCTAATAGAAATGTACAAAGCTTGACTTGGTCAGACATATTAAAATTTTTACTTTTTCCAGCATTTCATTTTCTACTTGTATGCTACAATCTTATTTGAGGCTCATGTCAAGGGTAATATCTACTAGGACATGTCCACGTGATAAAGGATTACACTGCAGTCCCAAATATTTCCGGCTTGAGCTTAATCACTGATCTGTTCTCTTTCTTAGCTTTCCAGCAGTTAATAATGTCTATCTCAATATAGATTCTTAAATATATATTCATGAAGCTTACCTTACATGCTACAAACTGGTATCAAAAACAAAGACTATTTTGATGTTTCTGAAGTTTTTATTTTCTTTGAGGATAGCTTTTGGTGTACTTTTCTTTGTTGCTGGGGACGCCGTGTTTGTGTTTACAGTATTAATCGTTTGCATCGGTTCCTTCTGTTGAAGTTAACCATTTAGAATGTGTTCGACAATGTGTCAGTCAGTATGTCACATCTGTGCTGCTGGGGTTATGTATCAGCACTAATTTGCTGTTTGCTGATTTTATTACTTCACTGTTAGAACAGTTACAAAGTGATAGCTTGAGAAAAGCTTAAAATTAATGAATAAAAACTTATCATCAAGATTTACTTGACAGGAATCAGATTTTTCCAGTGTATAGCTGCCAGATGAATACCATAAGCATAATGCATAAAGCAAGTTCAGACTAGTAATTGAAACTGGATAAAGGCCAGCCTTCAAATAAACAGCTATCATATATTAAAAGCCATTCATCTGCATTTGCTTTATGCCCATATTTTCCATTATTCATTCCTGTCTCTACAGTTTTAATGGAAATTGGTAATGTGAACTTGTAATGCTGTAATTTCAATATCCTGCCACGGGGAGAAGTTACTGTTATGGTTGTAGTTCATCATTATCTTGCTTAGGGTATTCTCTGATGACTTCTCTATGATTAAACATAACTGCTTCATCTGGCACCAATTTGTCTTACATCCCCTCTCAAAATTGGTATGCATTTGCCTGACTGCTGAATAATGGCAGGTATGGGTTCAACCTTTTGCTAATTGTATGTGGCCTGCTCCTATCAGCACAGGAAATAATCATTTTATGTGTTCATTGCATGGTACAGCATCCAGCCTCAATAGTGTATACAAAGAAATTGAGAGGTTTATGTCAGATTGTTTCATACTGGCCTTTGATATTGTATATTTTTGCCTCTTAATCAAACTGCAAGTGATAAGGCCAGACCAAAGAGAGGGAAAAGCCTGCTTAACTGACACCTCCCTGTCTCTGTCAATTATTCACTACCATCATTATCTTTGGAGACGGTTACAGCTACCTGATCAACTTTGCTTGAGTCACTTTATAGTAACAAGTGCAATCCATGAAGAACAGAGGAAGAAAATGTCTTGGTAAAAATTCATGTTACTTACTGATAGCAAATCTAATTTGGATTTTTACTGGCCTGTGCAAATATTCAGTAAGATGTTAACTAATTCAACAAAATAATTGAAACAAACAGGCTGTAATTCATAGGTTTATAGAGATCTGGAGGTGCTGAAATACATTAAAGTTAATTACATTGCTAACTTTACTCAAGTCTATTTGCAGCCTTCATATTTTGTGCAGACTGAAGCCCTCTGAGAAATTGATGTAAATTAACTGATGGATTTGCACAGACTTCAAAATGTGAAAGACATTCCTCAGAGCTTGGGTAGCAAATTGTACTTTTCACAGTATGCTACTTAACGCACAATAAATTACTGGTTCGATTTCAAGAATTAGTATTCCATATGGATAGCTGCACTTTTACAAAGCATGTTTCTATTTGCTTTTGTTTAAAGGGCATTGTCTCAGATGAATGATTTATGGATAAGATTAATATAACAGACAACCTGAGGCTCTTTCCGTGTGTAGGTTACAATGCGTGCTTTTAATAACCTGAACTAACGCATTAGAATACTGTCAAAGCTGTTTGTTTAATTGTAAGTTGTACTTCAGGTGTGAGTGCTTCTGATCGGCGTCAAAAAAAATGCTCTCACAGCAGACGTACAGAGAAATACCTAAGGCATTGCAGCACAGATGGGAAGACATGAATTTCAATAACACTCTGTGCTGTGGGACATCTGTAGAAAGTAGAGTGGTCTTTTTGCAATATATTCAAATCATTACAAATTTAGTTTTGAATTTTTAGGTAAATCTTATTGTCTGATATTAAAAGCTGGAAACTGGGAAAAATCTGTTTGGTATTATTAAACCTAATCGAGCTCTCTGACGTTTTGAAATTTTTAAACTTCGGTTATAGTCTGTCATAAATGAAATTGTCTGAAATTTCTACATAGATTGTTCAAGTCTCTTGCTGTCACTTTGGAAGAAGATTGATAAAATCTTCCACTGTATTTGTGGAGGGAGATTGGGAGGACTTCAATGAAATTTCAGGATATTACATTTAACTTGGATGTGCTCATCCTGCATTTAAGATGCTGCCTTTTGCTGAGATATGATGTCACCCTCACATTCTTCATCAGTGTCTGACCCTAGATAGTGAACTATTCAGTTTTGGGAGAGCATCGAGAATGAGGTGATGTTGCCCCAATGAAAGATGATCTCAATCCTGGCCTATTAATTTTACACATACCCATTGCCAGCAACAATATGCATTTGTGGTATCTCTTGTTTTTTTTTCACTAACCTTCTGATTGCTGTCTATGGAGGACTACAAGATCAAGCCTCACGCTGAGTACCAAATTTTAGCTGTCCTTATATTAGAATTTAATGAGTACTGTGTCAACATAGTTTCCATGTAGGCTGGGAAAGAATGAGTTTAGAATGGGTTATAATTGAGCAGAAAGTGAGTTGCTAGTACTAGTTTTGGAATTGCTTTGACGTAAATCTAAGAATGGATCTGCAGGCTGTTCTTTTATCTCAAGTATTTATTGACTCAAGTAGATGCGCAAAATAGAGAAGTGACGCCACAAACTTAAGTCAGTGTTAGCTTTAGACTTGCCTGTTCTAACACATGCCTGTCAGGAATCCCCCCCACTACCTGTGATCTTAAACTCACCAAAACTCTGATACCAATTTATAACCTTGCACCAAGTCCTATTCACACATCATCCCCTTCATTTGCTGATTTACAGGGCTCCCACCTGATTTTAAAATGTTCATTCTTGCTTTCAAAACCTCAACCTCTTTGAGATATGTGTATTCCTGAATTCTGGCTTCCTGTACATCCTGGATTTTCTTTTCCCCACTATTGGTGGGCATGCCTTTAACTGTCCGAACCCTAAGCTCCAGCATTCCTTACTTAAATCTCTCTGCTAAACAACCTCTACCTTCTCCTTTAAGGAGTATGTTAAAAACTACCCCTTTGACCAAGCCTTTGTACACCTGTTTAGTTTGATAATTGCTCCCAAATTACATTTTGGGACATTTTTGCTAAGTTAACAGCATGATCCATATACAAGTTTTTCTTGTTTTCGTCCCATATTCCTTGCCTTCTAACATTCTCTTAATACATAAAGGCCTCGACTACACTGCAAAGCACCATGTTAGAATGCTGCATAGGGCAGCATTTTGACTGTTGTAAAACCTTATCCTCTGGTGACATATATCAGAAAGTCAGATGTTCTGTTACAAATGATTTGCTGGCATTAATGGTTGGAAACACACGCATGGTATATTCCTACCTTCCAAAATGCAGTTGCAGTGCTGAGGCTCCCCATTGATAGAATACTACAAAGTTGGAAAATTAACTCTTTACTGAAGAGACAATTTTTATTGATACAAAAAAATGACCAGGTTTCTCTTTTTTCTAAATTTAAGGTAATCCTTGTCAGCTCATCAATGAATGATCGTGATCAGAGTCTTTTCGTGAGCACAGATGAGGGAGCCAACTTTCAAAAACAGCAGATTTCCTTCTCTCTCGAGACACTGGTTTTTCACCCGAAAGAGGAAGATAAGTTACTTGTGTACAGCAAGGAGGGCTGGGTAAGTGTGCACGTATGATAAATCAGTTGTGCTACGGTGCAAAAACAATGCAAACTCTTACTGGGGTTGTTACCCATTTAGAGTTGTTCTGGAGTGTTCAGGAATTAAGCTTAATCTCTAGGACACTGCTGCCAACATTTTAAAAAAATCTAATGTTCTTTATATACTTTTGCTTTGTGACTATTAAGTATTGAAAATAGAGAAAATAGCTGTTTGGTATCAAGAAGTATCCAATTGAGAAATGAAGGGTCTATTTCCACTTGGCAAGAGAAGATGGTGACCTGCGAGGACAAAGGACCTGGTGACCAATACTGGGAAGATGACAGATGGTAACTGAAGACAAAAAGTTATGTGATGAAACCCAAAAATGTGTTCAGCCAGAGTTGGCAAACGTAACTCCCGGTACTCGAGCTGGGAATTCAGTCCAAACTTAGAAAAGTGGCAAATTTTATCCGGTACATAGCCAGAAGATTCTATAGTCTTTTGAGTCCCACCGCTGCATGGGATCTTTATATTTTTGCTCTCCTGCTGTGTTTGAAACTAACCCACAGAGATATTGGTTTGTGTGTTGTCAGGTTATAGCCTAGTTCTAGCACAGTTAACAGCCTTTTCTGCAAATTCTGCCTAATTATTGTCACTCGAGACAGCTTCTGTAGCAGCAGGTACCATAGGTTCATTTTGTACCAAAGACTAATGTGTTTACTTTTGTTTCTTTTTAAGTTATAAACAAACATCATTTTCTCAGCAGCAGATGTCATTGAGATTTGATGACATAGTCACGTCTTTGCACATTCCTCTCTTCACAGCAACACTTCTATCTTTCCTTTAAGCACTGGATAAACATTATCACAGTGTGCATTATAGGAAACTTGAGTTGCCTGTTACTAACCCAGCAAAACTGTCCAATACATTGCTCATAGTGATCATCAAAGCCCACTATTTTGTGTGTGTGTGTTTGAGAGAGATAGATTAATGCCAGAAGAGGAAGGAGGATGAGGCGGCGGGGGGGCGGCAGGAAATAGAGAGAGCTTTATTGACCCAGAGAGCTCAGGGAACAATTTTCTTACTTGAACTGCAATGAGAAACAATGTTTGAGATCTCTGCAGTTCAGTAGAGAGTTCTTGCAAAAATCTGTCAACTACTGTAGCCATGACTTCAATCTCAGTGGAGGGCAAGTACAGCCGTGCCAATGACTTTGAAGATGATTGTGACTATTCAAATTTGTTTCTTCTAGGTTGCTGATGATATTAGCAATTTATCACAGGGTTGCCATTCACCATTGATAAGCAACACCATGAGGCTGTCTATTCAGTCAGACCTAAAATAATGTTATTTCCTTTTACCAGAGAGAAGCAGAAAGAACCAGCTTGCAATTTCATGAGATTTGCCCGTTCACCCGAGTTGCTGGGTTCCATTAACTGCCTGCACATGGCAACTCTACCATGTATCAGAGCCAAGTGAGATATTACTCCCTCAAACTCCAGCTGTTGTGAAACCCATAGGCAGCACATCATGTGGTCACTGCCTGGCATTCTCACAGCAGTCATGACAATGTCTTCATATTGTGAATATACGTTGGGCCACTGCATTTTAATCACATGGCAAAGCAAAGGCAACAAGGGCTATTCTGTGATAATATAGCTCATTATTATCATTTGCAATGCACAAGTGGTCACTAAATGCATAGAATGAGACCCATGCCATCGGAAAAAGAATGATAACAAATACTGCACAGAGGCCTGTATCCTGTCACCAAGTCCGCTGAACTGAGGAGAATCTAATCTCCTGTTTATATATTTTATTTCTCTTTTTTTGCTTGTGTGTGTGTGTGTAGGTGCGAGTCACAGTAAAAACACCAGATGTGTAAATAACTTTATTGATAGTCCACTCCAGGATACACACGCATGTGACCAAAGAACCAGTAGCAAGCAGAGCCCTTCTGGGGGCAATGCCCATGTGAATGAAAAAGTGAGGGGGAGGGTAGGGATCAAATTAAAATGGAATTGGAGGGGGAGATAAAGCACCTCACACTCCACAGTGTCTACCTTTTCCAAAAGGCATCGAGAGCATCGGTGCACACCACGTGCTCCTTTTCTAGGGACACCCAGGCCCACGTGTAGCCACAGAAAAGGGGCAGGCAGTCAGCCATAATGACCCCCTCCATGGCCCACTGCCTGGGCCTATTAATGGCCAGCTTGGCCAGGCCTAGGAGCAGACCCATGAGGAGATCCTCTGACCTGCCTGCTCTCCTCTGCATCGGATACCCAAAGCTCAGGAGTGTGGGGCTGAGGTGCAACCAAAAACACAAAAGGAGGTCTTTGAGGTAACTGACAAGGGAGTGCAAGCACCCACACCCAATATATATGTGGTCTTCAGATTCCATAGCACCACAAAACAGGCTGTTGGGCTGGGAGCCCATGAACCACTGCAAACTGCTGTTACGTGTACAACACTCTCCACGCCAGATCCCTGAGGGAAAGAGGGAGGACCCCCGCATAGAGAGCCCTCCACTGGGGATGCTCACTGCCTGGTGACAAATGGGCATGCCAAGGTGTGTTTGGGCGGTGGATAAAGGAGAAGAGGTGGATGGTGTGCAGCACCAGTCTGTACAGCACCCGCCGTTTTACATCCTTAAAGGACATCAAAATAAAATTCCAGAGGTAGCTCAGGCTCCTGGGGGAGGTACGGGATCCTGGGGCCGGTGTGAAATTCCATCCAAGCAGGGGTACACACAGACAGGATCCCACCGCACACCTGAGCATCCTCCAACTGGTACACACTGCCGTTTTCAGGTGTTGAATGGTGGTGGCTGCGAATCAGACATCTACCACAGCTCTGCGAATCTCCTGTTAATATTGGTCTTCCAGGGCTTTCCTGATTGGCCCAGGTTAACAATCCCAATCAAGGATCTCGTAGTCAACAAGATCCACCTCGTTCCAATCACTACAATAATTGATATGCTAATGCAATAGTACCAATGGCTGGAAGCCTGCAGAACTCAGTTGAGTGGATCTCATTATTCATGGTGATATGCTGCATGCTGTACAGTCTTGCCATTGTGAGGGAATATGAAATATGCATATGAAAAACTCATTAGAGTGTAATGCTGCTAATTGTAACCCAATTTTCCATTCAGCCACAGGCTCATTCTCCTTGTCTTCCCTCAGTCACTGACTGTCTCATCATCCTGTTTGCCATAATGCAAAAATAAAAGACACTATAAAAACAATTCCAAACCAAATTTATAAATGAAATAGGCCCATATTGCATGCAACATTCAGTAGTCAACCTTATACTATCCCCTTGTCTCAGCCTATCTTCAGTGTCCTCACTGCACACCTGAGCAGCTTCCAACTGGTGCACAACTTCGGGTCCAAGCACTGCCATTTTCCCTCAGTCTTCTCTCAGACTTGGTCTTGATGGCAGGGCTACTATGCTTCAAGGTTTGGAATTCCATCGACACAAAGAATTTTGTACTCTTCGTCAGGCTGTTGCGGCCTCAGCTTCCTTCGGAGTTATGCTGTCAGCAGTTCTTTTTTGACAGTTTTATGTTTGGAAGTGGTTGGCTGCAGGATCATGCTCTGTGCATTTAGCACTGATGGGTAGTTCACAGTGTTCCAACCACTAATGCCAGACTCACTCCTGACCTTCAGCGTTCTGTATGCATTTTGTATTTGATTTTTTTGAATCATATAGAGATTTTAGAGCTTTGTAGAAGCTTGTTGTAGTACCAGTATCAATGTACAGTTGAGACTTTTCTTCCAAGTGTGATACACCAGTTATTTGGAAGGTTCCTCAGTTTAAGTTGAAGATTGTTACATACTTGATGGTAGTCAGTCTCTACCTCTTTCTGGCTGTCTGAGCTAAGTGACACTGATGTACTGACATTTTTGTTGCCAGCAGACCTTGGATTTCCCCGTCATTTCTATCAAACCATCCCTGCCTTTTCTTAGGGCTGGATTCAGTGACCTCCAGTCAGAGAACCCACTCACTAGACAAAATTCACACCCTATTTCTGGCCACCTGCAGGCCCCTCATGCTGCAGCCACCATTTTGCACCTGCAGACCTCATCCAGCACCAGGCCTCTCCAGTCAGTCATCACTTCCAGCTCCAGTCCAGCACCCGAGCCTCCACAACCATTGACTGGGGCCCACAGGAACTCACTTTCAACCTCTGTCTCTGCTCCATATGAACCTTGCTGCATATTCATCATCCCCCCCAACCTTGAACTCTCTGAGGTTAAACGGTCTATCCTCAGTAAAGTTGTCACGTTCGTGCCCCTCCACCCCCATCATGTTCTGTGCCCGCCACAACATAGAGCTCTTCCTCTGCTGCCTCCACCTCCATGCCTTTTTCTTCAATAAAGACTCCCAGCCACCCTCTGGGGACCCCTTCTCCCACCTCCAACCTTCCTCTTCCACTTGGATACCCCTTCAGAGCCTCTTACCCGCCCTGGACCTCTTCATTGCGAACTGTCAACATGACATCAACCACCTTGATTTATCCACCCCCCCCTCACCCACTCCAACCTCACCCTCCTCTGAATGTGCAGTGCTGCACATTTTCCACACCAATCCCCTTTTCACTATCAAACCCGCTGACAAAGACGGGGCGGTGGTATGGTAGTCTGGAGGATAGACCTCTATATTGCAGAGGCGGAATGCCAACTCTCTGACACCACGTCCTACCTCCCCCTTAACCATGACCCCACCATGGCCCGTCAAGTCACCATCTCCCACACTGTCCATGACTTCATCACCTCTGGTGATCTCCCCTCCACCGCCGCCAGCCTTATAGACTCCCAGTCCTGCACTGCCCAGTTCTACCTGCTCCCCAAGATCCACAAGCCCAACTATGCCAGCTGACCCATTGTCTCCTGCCCCACCGAACTCATCTCTTCCTACCTCAACTCCATTCCCTCCCCCTTGGCCCAGGCACTCCCTGCCTACATCTGTGACACAAACCATGCCCTCCAACTCTTCAGAAACTTCCAGTTTCCTGGCCCCCAGCACTTCATCTTTATTATGGATATGCAATCCCTGAACACGTCCCTACCCCACGTGGATAGCCTGCAGGCCCTCAGTTTTTCCCTCTCCAACAGACCCATCCAGTTCCCCAACCCACCCCACCAATACCCTCCTCTGCCTCGCCAAATTAGTCCTCACCCTCAATAACTTTTCCTCAATTCTTCCCACTTTCTCCAAATCCAGGAAGTGGCCATGGCCACTTGCATCGGCCCAGCTATGCCTGCCTCTTTGTCGGTTATATCAAACAGTCCCTCTTCAGTACATACACCAGTACTGTTCCCCAACTCTTCAGCCGTTACGTTGATAACTGCATCAGTGCTGCAACCTGTACCCAGGCTGAACTGGAACAGTTCATTGACTTCACTAACAGATTCCACCCCGCCCTCAAATTCACTTGGTCAATCTCAGACACCTCCCTCCCCTTTCTTGTAGTCACTGTTTCCATTTCCAGTGACAGTTTACAGACTGACATTTACTATAAACCCACAGATTCCCACAGCTACCGAGACTACACCTCCTCCCACCCTGTATCCTGCAAAAAACTCCATCCTGTTTTCCCAATTCCTCAACCTCTGTCACTTCTGCTCTGATGAGGAGACGTTCCACTCCCAAGCATCCTGGATGTCTTCCTGTTTCAGACAACGTTCTTTTCCCCCCTCTGTCATCCAGACAGCTCTCCACCATGCCTCCTCCATTCCCTGCTCCTCAGCTCTAAAACCCCTCCAAACATAAAGATAATGAACCCCTGTCCTCACTTTCCACCCCACCAGTCTCCGCATCCAACATATCGTCCTCAAACGATAGAACATCTTCCACTCCCCATCCCTGTCTGCCTTCCGTAACGACCATTCCCTTCGCCATGCCTTAGTTCACGCCACACTCCCCACCAACCACTGAAAACCCGCCCGGTAACTTCTCCTGTAACAGTAAAAGATGCAACACCCGACCACACACCACCTCCCTCACCTCCATCCAGAGCCCTAAACAGCCCTTCCAGGTGAGACAGAGCTACACCTGCATCTCCTCCAACCTAGTCTACTGCATCCGGTGCTCCCGATGTGGTCTTCCCTACATCGGTGAGACCAAATGCAGACTAGGTTACCATCTCGCCAAGCATCGTCGCACAGCCCGAAATGGCCAGCCTAACCTCCTGGTCACCACCCATTTCAACTCCCTGCCTGAATCCCCGTCCGACATGTCCATTATCGGCCTCTTCCAGTGTCACAGTAAATCAGAACTCAAATTTGAGGAACAACACCTTACCTTCTGCCTGGGCACCCTACAGCCTGGACGACTTAACATTGAGTTCTCTAATTTCAAATAACCTTCCCACCCATCCCCCGGCTCCCTTTCCAACCCTGCCTCCTCCTTTTCATTCCACCTACCACCTCCTCCCTTCCATTCCAGCTACCAACCGAATTCAACACTCCCATTGACCTACCAGGTCATACCCACTACTGGTGTCCACCTATCACCAACATTCTGCTGTCCTCCACCCCTCTGTTTATCTGCAGCTCCCTCTAGCCCCATATCCAGTCCTGAAAAAGGGTAATACCTGAAATATTGACTTCTCCTTCCCTTCCAAATGCTGCCTGGCTTGCTGTGTTTTTCAAGCTTCCTGTTTGTCCACCTTGGATTCCAGCATCTGCAGTGTTTTTTTTGTCTCTAACCTCTTTGGAAGTATCTATTACTTCAATTGTATTTCTGGAGTCTATCTGAAGTGGAACCATCAGTGTATTCCAGTTTGGTCTGTAAGATTGCTTGATGTTTTAGCAAGATATGCCAGCTCAATACCACAGATCATGGACACATATTAATGTCTTTTGAGGAATAGCAAGAGTGAGAGAGAACCTGTGATTGGACAAGGTGGAGTAAAGAGCATGGGAGAGACAGAAGCTGTGATTGATTTTTTTGTCTCTTTCTCTGTCTCTTTCCCTCATATACATGGCTGGCCTTTCTCTGATTGATTGGCCAATGTGATTGACTTCTTCAGGGTAAATCTGGGGGATTTTGGGGACAGACTATGTAAATAGAGTTGACCACCTCACCAGGCTGGAAAGAATGATTTCCCAGCTTTGCATGAAACCTTGTGGTGCTGGCCTCTTGCACACTTCATGCTGATTGCAATCTTTTTGCCAGCATCATATTGAGCTAAATATTTTGTTGGCCTTTGTTGTTACCCTTCTTCTGTAACCTGATCCATCAATGTCCTCATCTTCTCTCTTTTCTCTGTTCTAAAAACTTTTTTAAAATTCATATCTGGAATGTGAGCTTCATTAGCAAGGCTGCAATTTGTTTTATTACCTGTTGCCTATGAGAAGATAATGATGAACCTTTGCTGTCCATCTGATATAGATACATCCACAGTGCTGTTAGAGAGGGAGTTCCAAGATTTTGACCTGGTGACAATGAAGGAGTAATGATACATTTGCAAGTCAGGATGGTATGTGATTTGGAGGGGACCTGGCATGTGTAAGTGTTTTCATACATCTGCTGACCTTGTTGCTCTGGATGGCAGAGGTTGTACGTTTAGAAGGTGGTGTTGTAGGTGTCTTGGTGAGTTACTGTAGTGCGCCTTGTAGTTGGTGTGCGCTATGTACAAGTGGTGGAGAGGGTCAGTGTTTAAAGTGGCAGATGGGCTGCCAGTCAAGGTTGCAGCTTTGTCCTGGATGGTGTTTAACTCCTTGAGTTTTGTCATAGCTGCATCCATCTAGACAAATGGTGAGTTATTCCATAACACTCCTGACCTGCACATTCTAGTTCTTTGAAAGGCTTCGGGGAATCACGAGGTGAAGTCATATCCACAGAATACCCAGCCTCTGATCTCTTTTTTTAGACATAGTACTTGTATGGATGATCGAGCTAACCTGTAGAGTTTTGATTTCAGGTTATTCCACAATTATAATACCGTTGGAAGTCCAGACCTTTTCTGTGTGTGAGCATGGACCGCCTCAGTCTCTAAAAAGTTGCAGTTAGAACTGAAGACTGTGCAATCGACAGCAAACAACCCAATTTCTGGCCTCATGATGCAGGAAGATTAATGAAGCAACTGAAAATGGCTTGGACTGTAGCACTACCCTGAGGAATATCTGTGCCTGAAATGTTTGGCCTCCAACAATCCAAAGCCTTTTCCTTTGTGCTTGATATGACTTCCATCAGTGGAAAATTTCTCCCCTGATTCATCAATTTTGCTGATGCCACGCTGAGTCAAAAGCTGCTTTAATATCGAGGGAAGCCATCCTCACCTCACCTTCAAAAATGTAGCCCTTTGTTTGTGTTTGGACCAAATCTATAATGCGTTCTGGAGCAATTCTGCAAGTACAGGGAAGTGAAAAATATTTTGCTGTCTTGAATTTTAACCCCAATGAGTTAAAATTCTGTTTGTCATACCATCCTGATTTCTCCCCTTTATTATGTTTTCCTGTTTGGCTGACATTTTTTTCACTTATCATTCATAGCTTACATTTCCAATATTAGATACAAATGAGAAAATACATTTTAAGCTTGTCATCTTTTTCTTTCTTCACCATGTTCATTTTTTAAAGGGGATCAAATTAATTTTAAACACTGTTGCTAAAAAAGTCAGGCCTGCAAATCAGTCTCGTCTGAAGAATCCACTTGACTTGAAAGTAACAAAATTCATTTGTGATATTTGAAGAGTTAAGCTACAAGGTGCTGTCAGAGGACAAAGAAACACCATCAAGAATATATTTTTTTGGACCTAAGTGGAAATGATAATTCTGTGAAGATAATTCTGGGTGATTCACCGAAACCATGCATCCATTGAGGATTACATTATGAGAAATAGTGTGTGCACATCTGTCACTTCCTACAGGTACATCCCCCATGTATTCAGGATCACAGAATAAGCTCGAATTTACCACCATCTGTGCCATTCACCTGTCTGAGTTTAACTTTGTCAATGACGCTGTGGAATACATTGAATATGACACCAGTGATAATGCCAGATGCTTTTCCTCGTGTGATAAAGAAGCTTTAAGTGTTTTCCTTGGGAAGGGTCTGTCGACAATGCCAGCATGTAGATTAAAGACTGAAGCTAATAGTGGTGCGCGATGACAAAGAGGAGTTCTCAGGTGTCAAAGGACATATTAATGTCATTTATCAATATGTAATCTACAGTACCAGCATGTATTGTTATGCAGCTATTCTGCTGAAACCAGATAACATATCTGTTTTTTCTTTGTTTCTAGCTTTATTTTTCTGCTGATCTTGGCAAGAAATGGGAATTACTGCAGGAACGAGTGACAAAGGAGCGATTTTATTGGTGAGATTCATATTATTTATTTGGAGATATAATTTCCATTATTGTGTGTGAAAACATTGAATGTTCTGAAATATAGCACCCTATACAGTGTATCCGAGCAATAATTGAAGCAATTGTCTTTTTTTCCTGAATTCTTGAGATTTTTATTTCTATGTAAGTTTTTCCAGCAAGTATCATAATTGATACTGAAAGTGCTAAACTGAAATTTAACCTGGACTTCAAAGCAAGAGATGCAAAAGCATTTTTTCTTAACTCACAGAGTTTAGTTATAAAAGTCTGCTATCTATTGTCAGTGATTGTGCTGACTGGTGGAATTGATAGTCCTGATGGCTGAAATAGCCTGTTTTTACAAATTTTATGGCTGTGAAAATCTATACATTTTCTTGGGTAATCTCAGAGTAATTTGGCCAAACTTGTGGTAGATGGATAATGAAGTGAGGTAGGCCAGGATCCGGATTTGAACTATGCATTTGTCTTCCACTTCACTTGTCTGGGATCCTCCCAAAACATGATTCCACACATCGGGAGGAGTTTACAATGTGGATGGGGTTCCCAGGAAAGGAGTTCCTTAACTCTGGCCTAGATTTTGCAAGGTAGCCAGTTTGTTATCAGGTGAAAGGCAATTCACTAGATAATGCAAGGGAATCATGTTGGCCACATAAGGGTCAAGAATTATCATAGACCCTTGAAGAAATGTTGTGAAAAATGTCTTCTCAGATGTGACATGATTTAAATATCAAATTATAGACATTGCGCATTCTTCCCAATCTGCTTCACAGTGATACTGACACTGCACGCTCCTCCTTGTCTGTTCCACAGTGATACTGACACTGCCCGTTCCTCCTAGTCTGCT